AAATCACTTATTCAAAACATATCCTTTTACTCACTAATATGATATGCTTCTTTTTAAATATCTTATAGTTAGATATATAATTGGGTTTATTGATTGAATTTCTCTTCTGTTTTGTTTTGGTTTATCCATGAGCTGGTAATATGCTATTGTAAAGAAAATAAAATAAATTACTTTAAAATATTTGGTAGGACTCTTCTTTCTTCTTCTTTTTTAGGGTTTTCCTGGGTATGCAGTTTTTCAATTCTTTCACATGATTTTTTATGATAACTTCTTAAATGAGGGTATATTTATTGGAATCATGTTGTTTGTAATTTAACTTAGGAAGAGCTGATGTCTTTCTGCTGTTGAGTCTGAACAAAGATGTGTTACCATTTGTTCAAGTCTATTTTTTGAATTATAGAATTATTTTTTATAGTTTTTTATATGTTCTTTGGACATTCTTTGTTATTATTTGTATGTAGGTATTTTCCTATCTTTATGCTATTGTAGATGAGGTATTCTATCTTCTACCTGATTTCTTTTAAAAAAATATTTTTTATTGATTTCAGAGAGAGAAAGAGAGGGAAAGATAGAAACATCAATGATGAGAATCATGGATCAGCTACTTCCTGCATACCCCCTACTGGGGACAGAGCCCACAACTCAGGTATGTATCCTGACCAGGAATCAAACCTTGACCTCTTGGTCCATGGGTCTATGCTCAACCACTGAACCACAGAGGCAAGGCTGATTTCTTTTTGTATATAGAAGGGCTATTAGCTTTATATGTTTACTAGAGGCCAGGTGCACGAATTCGTGCATGAGAGGGCGGGGGGAGGGACTGCAGGAAGTTGGCTGCCAGCCCCAAGGAGGCATTGGCCCTCGGCCCCCCTGCGGAAAGGTCCACGTCCACCTCCACTCACCCCTGATTCCCCATCCCAGCCCAGGAGAGGAAGCGACAGTCACCAGGCTGGTGTGCACCCCGCCACTGCACAGTTCTCTGACTCCCCCCCCCCTCCTCCTTCCCTTGCTGCCGCACCACCACCACCATGGCAGGCAGGTGGCCCCCGGGGTAGGGAGAGGATGGGAGCAAGACAAACCCTTGTGTAGAGGGCTGACTTTCAATAGATTGCAGCAAGGAAGCTGATCTGCTATGTACGAAACTCAGACCCAGAAGCAGGTCTCTACAAATGGTTTAGCACCAGGGACCAATGGGGGCTGGCTGGCCGGTGGGAGGGGCCATAGGAGGTTGGCTGTGGGAGCACAGTGACCACCAGGGGGCAACTCCTGCCTTGAGTGTTTGCCCCTGGTGATCAGTGCGCATCATAGCGATTGGCCAACCGGTCGTTCTGGTGGTTCTTGTCGTTCAGTCGTAACAGTCGCTTAGACTTTTATATATGTAGATGCACTTCTTTGTATCTATATCCAAAGAGTTTGTCCTTATAGTTTCCATGGAATATCTTGGTTTTTTAACTTTTTATTTGTAAATAAACATAGTTTTAATTCTTACTTTTATAATTATGTGTTTTTTGTTGTTGTCTAAATGCATTTCTAAATTATAGTGTATGTAATGGGCATTTCTTTTTGCTCCTTATTTAGTAAAGCTTCCAATATATTTCTCCATAGAGTAAAATGCTAACTTTTGAGCTCAGGCACACACTCACACACACACACACACACACACACACACACGCACAACACATCATGTCAAGAAAGTATCTGTCATTTTTTATTTTGTTCACTTAAAAAAAATAATGAATAAATGTTAGACTCCATCAAAAACTTTTTCTGACTCTATGGATATAATCACATGTTTTTTCCCCCCGTTGCTCTATTAATATGATGGATTCATGAAAGGAATTCCTAATATGAAATTACACAACTTTCCTGGAAGAAAACCCACTGGTTAAGACATATCATATATTTAAAGTGTTGTGGTATTCTGTTTGTTAACATTTTATTTATGATTTTGTGTATTGATATTAATATATGTCTAAAGTTTCCTTTTAAAAATGTAAGGATGTCAATATATTTCTTTCAAAAAATAAACTTGGAAAGTTTACTTTTTATTATGGTCTAAAATTTAAAATAATATTGAGATTATCTGATAATTTAAGATTCAGTAAAATTCTCCTGTGAATTTATCCATTATTTTCTAGGTCTTCAGTTGAGCAAAGTAGTTTTCTATTCTTTTTTTTAAAGAATGTTTTGATGGTTTATTATGGTTATTTTCGACTTGTCATTTCTAATTTTGTGAATTTACATTCTAAATTTTCTTAATTAGGTTAGGTAGTTGTTTGTCCTTTTGTTACTTGAAGAAAAATAGCTTTATTATATTCTGCAATTTGCTTTATAAACTAATTGATTTCAGCTTTTATCATTGTTCATTCCTATCTTCTACTTTTTCTTTTCTTTTTTTAACCTGCTTTTCCTGGCTAACTTTGCTGTTCTTTCTAGATTTTTGCTGTGTAGTGTTAAATTTATTTGTATTACTATACTGGTGACTTTAATCTGGTATTTGTTTTATCTGCCCATAATATTACACTATCATTATTACTAATTTCAATAATAGATGTAAATTATTTTGTATTCCTCTTTGACCCAATGGCTTATTTAATGACATGGTTTAAATGTCATTCTAGGTAAAAGTGCCGTCTTGTTTTCTGGTTTTATTATTAAGTTCTACTTTCATTGCATTTCAGTTAGTGAATGCCTTTGTGATACATCTGCTATTTGGAATTTCTTCAGGGTGTTTATCACATCAGATGTGATATATTTTGTGAATATTCCATATGCCCTTAAGAAAAAAAAATATTTTCTGTTATTGAATTTCAGAGTTCCAGACAGATTTATAAGCTCTGTTTTATGAATTATCCTCTGTATATCTTCTATAAATTTTCAATAGGTAATCTGTCTTGAATTTTTAAAAATGAACCAAAGAAACCTATTATTAATATGTTTCTTTCTATTTCCTAGCATTCTCTTTGAAATATATTTTACACACTTTTTCTTTTTTTGTATAATTTGTCCACTCTTTTATTAACCATTCTAAATCTCTTTATTTTTAGTTGTCTCTTATACACAAAAAAGTGTTAAATTTTCCTTTGTCAGTCAATTTGAAAATACCTGTATTTTAACAGTATGCTACATCCATTTACATTTATTGATATGATCAATAATTTTGGACTTATATTTGAAAAGTAACATTTATATATGTGAATATTTTATATAAAGTTTTTCACTGTGTCCTATTTTATTGTGCTCTCATTCCTATAGGGGAGTTTTAATTTTTATTCTTATGGTTATTTTTATAGTAATATATTTATATAAAAACCTTAGTTGCCTCTTTTTTAAATTTTTGTCTTTTATTCTTTGGTAAAAGATCCATTAAATTTAGTGGCTAATCTTTCTTTTGCTTCTTCTCCATGTCCCTAAGCAAATATTTGTTGTAATATCTTTTATTTCTGTTAATAGCCATGAAGCAATCCCAAACTAATTTTAAATGTTATATGCTCTCACTATTGTCCCTGAAGATACTTTGTCGTATCTATGTTGTCAAATTGCACAAAACACATGACACTCTTTTTCTTACAACCATCATTTCATTTTAGTTCTAAAGTTATGCTTGCACCAATTATTATAATAACATTTCTCCAGTCATTTTGGTTGCCTGAAGAAACTCATCTAGTAGCTTCCACATGACATCTTCATGAGAAAAAATATTCCCTAATTTTTATAATAGTTTATTTTTAGCCTTTATATGTAAAAATTTGTTCAAATGGATATTAAATCCTTGCTAATTTTCTTTTATATCTTCCATGCTGAGCTATGTTAAGTAGGTAGAGTATATCTCTAATATAGTCTCTGTATATGACACTTCTTAAATATATTATTATGCTGAAACCTCAATGTAAATTATCTATATATATAAAAGCCTAAGTGACTGGACAACTGAATGACCAAATGACCAGTCGACTGGCTGGTAGCTGTGATGCGCACTGACCACCAAGGGGCAGACGATCAATGCAGGAGCTGCCCCCTTGGTGGTCAGTGCACTCACAAGGTGAGAGCACCACTCAGCTGACCGACAGGTGTCACACACAGGGCTCAGGCTGGCTGCCGCAGCCTGGAGAGCACAGCGGAGTGGCAGCGAGCCTACTGAGCAGCGGTGGTGGCAGATGCAGCAGGGCCGGGGTAAGCAGAAATGGCAGGCAAGAGTGGCTGGTGGTATTGGACTGCTGGTTTTGGCCTGATCCCCACAGGCTATGCTGAGGGACCCCCGCACTGGTGCATGAATCCATGCACCGGGCCTCCAATATATTTACTATATATATATATCTATATATATCT